AAGGACAAGGTTATCTGTTATGCGGACAAAAATGACATGATCTCTGTGTGACGGTCGCCCTAAGAAGAGCGGCCGCCTTTTGTGTTCTTGCTAGGGGCCGCGGTCGACCTTTGTTATCGGAAAAAGTAAGAATGTCATCGAACTCGAGTCGACAGGACTACTTCAGGACACAAAACGAGCCTGAGTAAAATCAGCGATGCTCCAAGATGCACTCAAAAAGTAACAGATCGATTCAGAAAACTCTACTCAACAGATTCCTTCTTGGGAAGCTGACAGTCGCTCAATTGGTCAAGAATTCCACGCCTTTTTCTAGAATCCCAACGTTCAAAATCCTGCTAACACCCAGCCAGACGACGTCAACTAAGCAATATAAATTTAGTCCGCAATCTATTTTATAAAAAAGAAAAACAATTATAATATTTTCCTTCCACCTACGCCTAGGTTTTCCATTTAAATAATGTATATATTTTGTTAATTTGTTGCGTATTTTGGAAGGGTAATAATTTCCCACGCCAGATAGCGCATTAGCGTCGAAGCCAGCTGGCAAGGGGCGGTCTTTCAGGATTTAGGGGTTGGGCGTGGAGCTAACAACACATCGTAAACACTAGCACACCACGAAGGTCACCAAGGGCCGAGGACACGGGTGGAATGTTCGGCTAATACATGGTACCAACGCCAGTAACCACGTACCAAATTTCATAGCATCACAAGACCAAAATTGGACCACATCAAAATAAATATTGGTTATCCATGGAAGGAAGTTAAGACATGCGCTGAATTAAGCCGGGTAGAGTCCAATGACGGGATTTTGTGAATATTGGAATGAAAGTTCTGATTCCCTCTTCGAGTAGTTATGAACTTTCGACGAAAATGCCACACCACGAAGTCGGTCGGTCTACAAGTTTTTACTCATGCTAACGAGTGACTGCGTGAATTTCAGTCTCTCAACAGACCCTGCTTTTTGTTAAGAGCAGGTGCTACTGACCGTGGGAACCACAACACTGCACTCCAGCGTCGTCGTGTTTGCAATCCGTCTACCGCGGAAGATCCGGTCTGCGAAATGACTGAATGATCAAACGTCGCGGTACAACAACTACGACCCCTGTTTCATATTCGGGAGGATCCTCGTTCAAATCTCAGCACGGGGCACGATATTCGAACTTATGATCATCGAGTTATTCCTCCGTACCTTCACAATTCATCGCAATTGTCCTACTATTATTCGACGTCATATAGGAGGTGCGATCGGAAAGTTTTCAGACTGTGTCAATAGCGGGCGAACCGGATGTAGTACGAGCTTCTGCCGCTAGGGGGTGCTGCCTACATTCATAGTGAATCAGTGTGCCAGCCGGCATCATCGAATTACCATTTGTTTCTTAGTTACGGGCGTTTCGGTAGTGCATTACACCGACCCTCCTGCGATTTCGGAATGGCGTGTGCATCAAATTTTGCCAAAGACTCGCCAAAACGGCTACGGAAACCTATGAAATGCTAAAGCAAGCATTTGGGGGTCGTCAATGGGTCGTGTACAAACTTTTGTGTGGCATTCACGTTTTAAAAATGACCGAACCTCTGTCGATGATGACGAGCGTTCTGGACGACCATCTTCGAGCACAACGCCCGAAAATGTTACCAAGATTCGGCAGGCCATTCACGAAGATCGACGTCGTACCATCAACGACTTGTGCGACATTGTTGGGATAGACTATGGGACCTGTCAGCTGATTCTAAAGGAAGAACTCCACATGCGACGCATCAAGACAACGCGCCAGCGCACACCGCCCTCAAAGTTCGGCAGTTTTTGGCCGTCATCCCGCACCCTCCTTATTCGCCGTGTGACTTCTTCCTCTTCCCAAAGATGAAAATTCAGCTAAAGGGAAGGAGATTTGAGACGATAGAAGAGATTCAGGCAGAATCGCAGATGGTGCTTGACAGGCTGACAAAGAAAGATTTCCAGGGATGCTTCCAGGCTTGGCAGCGGCGCTGGGATCGTTGTGTTCACTCCCAGGGGAAGTACTTCGAGGGTGATGGATGAATTTAGTACCTGAGATAATTGTACGGGTTTTTATAGGCGCAGTCTAGAAACTTTCCGATCGCACCTCGTACTTTACGAAATTTTCTAAAGCGTAGGAAAATAAACTAATGAGGAAATAAAGAACAGTGAATTCGATCGAAGATTTTACCGAGTTTAAACGCATTTTTTCTCCCGTGTTTCCGTTGTGGGAAATAGAGAGAGATGAACACGAAGGACCTGAGGTGAGAACCACGAACACTTCGTCTGACTTCTACATTCGTGTTTCGTAGTTCACGTAAATAGCACATACATATACGTATATATGTAAATATACAGATGCGGCCAGTTCGCCACTGAAATACCGACGTCATGTGTCGCTGGTAGAGGAAGGGGAGACAGACCGGATGCAGTCCAGGTACAAAGATCGAGACCTTAGAGGAAGCAGATGGGAGTTCCACAGGACAAAAGATTCACCCTAGTCCGATTGACTCAAATACGATTCTATTGTTCCAGATTCTGGTGACCAGAAGTTGATCAACTACAGTCCGCAGATCAGGAGAAAATCCCTGCTAGGAATTCGTTATACGCGCATGCGCAAGATTTCGCGGTGAGTGACGACCCATCCTAAAAGCATTCGTTCCACAACCACTGAACGAACAACAGACGACAGTCTTTCACGTGTTCTAATGTGTACAGCTTTAAGATTACCTCACAGCGGCACAGCGATTTAATCTAGAATATTATCGCAACACCCACAGAACACAGAGCAGGAGAAAATTCCTGCTAGGAATTCGATATACGCGCATGTGCAAGATTTCGCGGTGAGTGACGACCCATCCTAAAAGCATTCGTTCCACAACCACTGAACGAACAACAGACGACAATCTTTCACGTGTTCTAATGGGCACAGCTTTAAGATTACCTCACAGCGGCACAGCGATTTAATCTAGAATATTATCGCAACACCCACAGAACACATTAGAGGTGCACTCACTACACGCTACTCTTAACTGCTTGATGTTTTCAGTCTGTGTAGTAGCGTAAAACTCTGACGTATCACACTTCCCACCAATAGCAGCCGTCCAGTCCAGCTGATAAGTAACATTCCCCCCGCACCGACCAGAAACGACTTCCCTCAGCAGAGTTTTTCTCGTGATCTGTGGACAGTACCTTGACTAGAATGCACTGCTCTGATTCCCACTGCCCTTACATCTTAAAAAATATAAATAACTTCGAGTACGGTCTGCTTCATTGCGTAATATGCAGCTTAATAAATTATCCCCTTCACTGATTATTAGGATAATAAAATCAAGGATTCTAAAATGGGCGGGGCCATGGAACATATATGTTACTTATGACAGGTAAGAGTAATTCAGTGTCTTGTTTCTTGTAGTGCGGAGGCGTTCGTGTGTCAGTTAAGCGGTCAAATCACAAAGAGGAATTCCAGAAGCAATTTCGTTTCATTAGCTCACTATTATTAGAAACAAAACCAGAGAAAAATGGCGGCGCATTTGGTAACTTCATTTTGGTCAGTCAGGCTATAATTCACAAGACTATTAAACTATAATAAACGGTTCGTTATTTCAGTACAGAGGACTTCAGAAAAACCAGATCGCTTTCGAAAGAACTTCGTAAAACTGCAAGTACAATTTGCAGTTCGGCGTAAATTAAGACCAAAGGCACCAGGTCAGATTGCCAGGAACCCGATGCAGAATAGCCGAGCGAGGAGTTTCGTTTTGTCTCTCTGCCCTTCCAGATAAAACCGAAACAGTCCGTAAAACAGGCCACGACTACATTCTACGTCGCCGCAGCGCCGTCATTCAAGGTCATATGTCCATTTCGCACTTCAGTCGTTAAATAAACTACACACAAACAGGTAACTACACCTCCACGAGATTTTAACAAGTTCAGAAATCCTGCTCAGTTCTTTTTAAAATGTTGCCTCGGCGATAACAAAAAGTCAGGCTTCCTTTGCACCAGGGTGGCACCTGACATTTCAGCTGACGTGATCGTGGGTGATATGTTGACAGGGCACTGAGAGGAGCGCGGCGTTTCCTGTCTTAATGGAGAAGTCATCCGGTAGGAGACGAGACGTGTTCTCCCGTGCCGTAACCTAACTTAGTGCAAGCACCCCAGTCTACAGCAAAAACACCAGGAAAAGACGAGCTTCCCTAGCTTTCTGGAGGACCCCTTTAAAGCAAAATTATTTTCTGTTAGGTATTAAAAGTAATCAAATAATATACAACCTTACGAAACTTTCGATTTAGCTTTGACCTTGAAAATAAAATCATCGTATTATGACTTATTATACAACGCTACTGAAATTATTTAATTTGTCGTTAAGCGAGAAGTGTTAATCAAGAAGGGCGATTCGCTTTTTTAAGAATAAAGACACCAGAGACCGACCTCTGACCTCAATGTATGGTAGAGCGGGCGGAGAAATGTATTTCCACTACTGGTTTCAGTTGCAGAAAGTAAACAATGCAATGTGCCGATACAAGATTATCCCGGAAGGGATAAGCTGCCTGCTGCCAACACGTTCTCATACCTTCATCTTTATCTGCACAAAGAAGACATCACTCGACGTGGCCCCACGCTGACTACATGACACGTGGGTCGAAGAAAATAGCACCGTAGTAAAGGCAATAGACGTGCACGTGCAGGGGTGTAGATAGACAATATCGAAGTTCGGAATTTCCACTGCGATTTGCCACGTCAAACAATTTTTAAAGCTGACCTGCCACAGGTTGTGAAACATTGAAATGCATGCATCAAGACTTTTACTCTGTGATAAAATCTTCTCGGGCGACCAGCTCCATCAATTCGGGGCAAAAGTCCAGCGTTTAAGACACGCTTTCTGTCTTCATTATCAGGAGAGGACGTGACGACTGACCGCAGACACCGGTTGGACGTTTGCTTCGGATTGGCGGAGCTGGTTGCCCGAGAAGATTTTATCATATTAAGTCGCAGCGAAAGTAAGGCTTACTTTGTCTGGAAGCCGTCGAATTCTTCCTGTTGCTCACTGATTGAGGCCTCGAGGTCGAGGTATGACCCATAGTCGCCATCCCTGTACAGCTGAAGAGCAGTGTCGTCCAGCTGGAACAAAGACAGACCGATGAGCCACACGGGCACAAGAGAGCGGCGTTTCTTCGCAGTGAATGTTCGCTCGCGACTTAATAAACGACTGTCTCCGATTCCCATTAACACTCGGATCTCTACGCGGAAAAAAAACAATAATAAATGCAACCTTGGGCATGGATTCATGTCGTAAGGCACAGAGAGAAAGTCAGGCATCAACCCTTAACAACAGAGGGTAAGGAGGCGAGGAACCTGTTTGTGAAGTCGAATACTAATGGCTCTCGAGGTGGACTCACGTTTCCGACAATCTGCGGGATATTCTCCTCCTCTTTTGCTAAAATTACGAACAAATAGTGGTCACGTCGTTACGGCGATGTAGATACAAGAGGTGTGTCGCGAAGCAAAGCTCCATTATGCTAATACAAAAGTATCCGCAGGCCATAGGTCGCTTAGCAAAATTCTTTCATGTAGCAGTTCCAAGAAATACCAGAAACATCCGCCCGTATGGGTTTTAAGATACGCGGCTTTTTCCTTTATAGGATTATGCAGCCACTGCGGCAATCCTGATCATCGATTTGGAAAATTAAACCTACGACGACTACGCGGGGTAATTAATCATTACGGAGGCAATCAGTTCAACTGTTTAGCATTTAACGATTCCAAAATACACAACACACAAAAGTTACGGCCAAAGTTTAAGTTTCCTGATAGGATGAATGTGTTGAAAGATTATGAGCTTCATGTAACGTAGTATTTATAAATACACACCAAAATTAAACGCGCACGAAAATGTTCTATACATACCACGATGCCAAATCTGCCCGAGTAACACGCTAGTGTTAGCTGGTGATCATTTGCTGTTGAGGGAATTTGGGTCTTACGAGAAAATATACTTGTCTACATGTGTTTATTACTTTAGATTTTACCATCATTATTGGTGTAATTTTCTAATTTAATTTAAATTCTAATAGTATTCTAGGTTATTTAAAATGCGAGTGGACAAGGAGTCGCAACTTATTCTTTGGTGCATCTTCTTCCAACTCTTTTCAAATGCCCTTTTTTATTTTCTCCTTTGTTTCATTATTTTCTCCTTACATTTTGGTCTATTTTACTTCGCTCTCCTGTTCCTTTCGTTGCCTTTCTCATCTTCTAATTTGTGTCGAATATTTTTTTGACAGAAATGCGCACGACATATCAGGAACGCGGTGCATTCATATGGCACCGGGTTCACTCACAGTTGCTACGGTGTGACAAACGACGTCGTCCTGATCCGTTGAACTCTGCGCTGCTAAAGGGCAGCAGCTCGGATGACAGTCAACAGGCAGTTCTGCGTGTTACTGACGGAATGTGACCCCGAGACCTGTAAGTGACATGACCTAAAAATTGTGAGAGAAAGCGTAGCCCGCTTGGCACAGGATGCTCATAGAATCTCACGCCCGCTGCCTAATCCCGCTTCCCGCAATCTTCCCCCGAATCAATCAATAATTTAAGGACAATGTCGTACAACGGAGCAACACGATACTGATCCCGTATCTTCTCGTGACACAAAATAAAGTGACAGGTTTAAAGATTGTTTAACTATTGCGTTTAGATTTCTGACGTTAATTTATTTGAAGGTATTACCCCAGAAGCAACTGAGGAAATCCACCTAAGATGGCAATTTGGCCGTAATTCTAAAGCGTGATCAGCCGAATAACAGACGAAATATGTAACAACACTTTATACACGATAGCAAATATTTCACATAAACAGCCGAATAAAAGTTACAAGTTCAACGTCTTACTGAGTCTAATATCATTCTAGATAAATGTCGAAAGTTAAATTAAAACCCACAAACCACTACATTCAGAACTCAACAAGAATTTCGCTGATGGCTCTACATTCGCCCCCCCACCCCCACCCACCCAAGCACCCAGGCTGATGTTATTTACCCTACACTAACACTTATAACATAAATTAAAGTCACAGGCACAACGACCGTCTAATATTTAAGACGTGAAAAACGCATTTTAGAGTTTAATGCCACGAAGCCGGCAGCTAGCGGTTCTTAACTCCAGGATTAAAATAAATGAGAAGGCAGCTGAAGCCATCGCTGGCAAAGTTCAAGACACGGACCAACTTCCTTTCCTGTTTTCCACTTCTCTCCGTGAGATTAGCACGACTGCATACCATCAACTCGCATCAGTGGGCCATAGTACAATTGCACTTCTCTGCCTGTACCAACTCCAAGACACATGGTTTGCCCATAAGAGTTGGTATTAAACTCTTCAAGATATTCTGTAAGAGAGGAATTTTGGGCCTTATCAATTGTCTATAATTCAATAAAATTACGTTTCGGAAGCTGTATCTTCTTTCGCCTTCATGTCCAAAACGTCCAAAATTTCACTTTTACAAATTATAACGCACAGTCGTCAAAAACCTTCAGACTTAATCTGTTAAAATTATTTTATATTATTAAGAGATCCGAACGTTCATCATCGCCACCAATAACAAACTATCATTACAGACAACAGCATTCATTCAGACTTCAATTTGCATTACAAACTGATCAAGACAGATGTAATGTACAGCCTACGATATATGTTGACGTGTATTCTGACCTATTAGCTTTTAAGGAACAATTATTAAAAAAAAAACACTGTACATGAACGTATATACGCCTATCGAAAATGCCATCAAGATTATCATTTGGACGTATTTCACTGTCTGAAAAATTACGTCCAGTTCCTTATATCACAAAATGCAATCCAAGTCTCTACAACTTTAGGTTTGAAAGCTGAAACTAATCTGGGTGACCTTGCCCGTAACACACCTCGTTTGGACGTCGTACCTAGATAACACACTTTTGAAATCATACCGCTACACAATTCACAGTAAATCACTGTATGACATCGGTTCATGGCACTGAAGAGATAACATATAAAAATAAATCAAATTCAAGAATGCGTATGTCCCACTTAACGTGGAACCCTCCACGACAGCACATCGCACCAACAGCAAGCAATCTACCGATAGTCACAAAGTAGAACATAGTCGCCACACGGTAGAAGGTGGGTTCCAAGTTACATGGGACACTTTGTATTAGTTACTATAACAATCTTACGACGGGTAAAAAAGTGAACGACTTCCAAGATTAAAAATCTGAAATCTGAAGTACGCATATCTCGTCTAAGACTGGGATATCTTCCAAAAGCATTCAATCAGAAAAGAGCTGGACGGACGAGATTCTAGTTTTTATGACGGCAGGCAGTTTCGTTCGGTGGTTGACCCCTGATGAGATGTAGCATGAATGACCACAGAAGTAGCAGCAGGCGTACGAATTGAACCATCACTGTTCGATACGAGACGAAGAACCTGAAGGTCATTATATTGTTACAGCAGTTGCGTTCCACGCGCCTCGTACTTGTCCGTCCAGCATACAAAATCCACTCGACAGACAGACAGACAGACGCAAAGAGGGAAACTTGTGATCATCTGTTCTTAAAAGATTCGACTTGCATTCGGAAGAAAAACGGACTGCAGACTGGACGACCGGCGTTAGATCCCCGGTAGGAGCAAATGTTTTCTTTATCTTCTGCGTCCAGATCGACTGTGGGGCTCAACCAACCTCTTGTCTAATGGGTACCACGGAGGAATCTTTTCCCTGGGGGTAAAGAGCGGCCAGAGCGTGGCGCTGACCACTCACCCCATCTAGTGCCGAGGTCAAGAATAAGTAGAAACAATACTTGCTCTCCCCCTAAGCGCTTTCAAGGAGTGTAGTGGGAAGACTTTACTTAATCATTTTATACAATTTAGTGTGCTACCAAGTGAGAAACTTTGAGAAACTTTGGTTTAGCTCGCCTGACAGTCGTATTTACGTTTCCTTTCTACAACAATGAAACAGGTCGGTTCGAAAGCGGCCAGGGTCGCCCTGAATAACGTACTTTTAGGGTTACACAAGAGTGAAACGTCTGATTAGCATCTACTTGAGGGTCTTCTCACCCGCTATCCGCAGATGCTTCGTCAGATACGTAATAAGGATTCACGGTGCGCTCCTTTCCTGTGGCATCTCACTTAACGTAACTCTGTACATCCGCGCATGAAGATTGGGGTATAAACACTAGTCCTTGTGTGTTGGTTCATAACAGAGGCGCGGATTAAGGGTGTAACGCCCCACCGACGACCAACAGTGGCTCACTTACTGAGGCAGGAACTCTGAAACATTCTAACTATGAATTGAATAAAAATTTACTTGGATATTATCCATGGTCTAGTAAATATAAAACGTAAAACGACGTTTCGGAGATGGGACTCTATCTCCGTCTTCAGGGTCCGGAGATAGGGATTAGCTCTATCTAGTGGGCCCAACTGTGTAAGAACCTGAAGACGGAGATAGAGTCCCATCTCCGAAACGTCGTTTCACGTTTTATATTTACTAGACGATGGATAATATCCAAGTAAATTTTTATTCAATTGACTCTTCACCATCGTCAAGAAGTTTTAGATTTGATATTCTAACTTTGAGTTCACCAAAGGTCAAGACAGAACTCAAAACGTCACTTCAGTGTAGTTCCAAGTCATCAATAACCACTCTCACATTTTAAGCTAACCCATAAAAATGATAAGTGTCGTTAAACAAAGTAATAAATTATACACAAGCAAATCCTGTTAGTTTTTGCATGTCCGGTCTGTAAATAGAAGAGGCTGGCGAATGCAATGCCAGGATGTTTCGCCGTTCACGAGCGGCAACTACTCCGACGTTGCAGTAGCGCAGGATGCCTGACCACAGACATTCAGGCGTTCTCTAGTCACAAAGTTCGCTGTTCGTTTAGAGACAACCGTAGTAGTTAGAACAAAGCGTGGGCATCGGGAAGGTTTGTTGTTAACTCGACGGTCGAAGCACCTGACGAGTAAGCAGATCGAGCTTCCGAAGCAAGACAAAGGAAAAGTCCCACAGCACATCAGTTTATGACATGCCTTCTCCAAAAACATTTTACACTGTTTTTTTCCCCTCTCATTGCTTGATATCCCCGTGTAAA